AACACAAGGTAGGGTCCCCGCCAAGCCCCCGGAGCGGAATCGGGCGGAGAGCGGCGCGTCGGGTTGCCGGTCCTTGCACCGCCGCCCAGGGTGGGACCAGCCGCCCCCCGGGGGGCGGGAGGGAAGGACGAGCAAGCGAGGAGGGAGAGTGACTCTGAGCATACGCAGAATACCTTTCCTTTCCGAACTGGGTTTTGTCTCCCTTCTCCCACCCCGGGCAAAATGCAAACTGTCGCTTGTAGATAATGCGATATGGTACTCTAGGTTTATTCTTTCTGTTTTCTAAATGACAGCAGGCGTGAGTGGAAGTCTTTGTACTCTAGATGTCTTCCCGTTCATTAATAAAAACACGCCTGTGTAGTGAGTAAATGAAAGGGCCCCGATTATGTTTTGGAACAGGGTTCTTCCAGGATGCAATACCCAGCCCTGAGTTTCAGTGCTTGGCTTGATTGCTCACTTGAGAAAGAAATGAAGTACTGTAGTGTTTCTAAATAATAGCTCCTAAAGAAAATCCGTCTCTGGGGGGGTCTCATTCTATTAGCACTTTTTCCTGTGTTGCCCGGACATTAAAAACTGTCCAGGCTAAACTTAGGCAAATATGTCTGTCTTCATAAGCGCACTAAATTGCCACTTGCAGAGATCAGAAGCTGGTCTAGCCTCGGTTCTCTCCCCTTGTCCCTTTGCAGGAATGCAGGATTTTAAATTCTGAATATCATTTTGTGTGTAAAAAAGAAGTGAAGAAACTTCCAACGGTCGTATTAAACGAAACTTGTCTAATACAAATATATTGTGCAATTAGTAACTTTTAGGTGAGTTAACATGGTAAAATAATTATATCGATGAGATTGATCATATAAATTAGCACATGCATTCCAAATTTCTAAATAGCCTCCCAAGCAGTTTTCCCAGTGATAAAGTACTTGAATGACTATAGAAAGAGAGGTAAAGTCCAGACGAGGAGAAGATCTGCAGCTCAGGGTTGAACTGTGGACTTCTTGGTACTCTCTGAGCCTGGTTGTTTTCTTGCAGATATTTCATTACCCGACTAGGTAACTTCATCATGCCTAATGATGTTACCTAGTCGAGTAATGAAATGTCTGTAAGCAAACACCCAAGCTCAGAGAGCACCAAGGACTCCAGAGGTAAGTTCTTCAGATCATTCTTTAATTGATGGAGAATGGTTATCCTCTGTACCTTGTAGCATAGATTTTCCACCCTTAGAGTGGGTGTGTGTCCTTTTGAAAAAGTAGTCTGGCTTGCAGGTCTGTAGATAAAGGCTCTTCTTGGGTCTTTAACAAAAAAGTAGGGGAACTGGTGGAAAATGATAAAAAAAAAATGGAAGTCAGAAGACAAGAGGACACATAGTAAACCTTCTGGGAATGCAGCCTTTCCAGAGATGAGAACATCATTGAACTCCAAATGCTGTGGTTTTATATTTGGATAGTGGGGCAGGCTTAAGGTGTTGATGTTTTTCCTGTTGTGAGAATTGTCCAACCTTAAATGAACAACATATTGACTCCCTGCCAGGTGAGAGGAAGTAACAGGATGAGCCACATGGAGGAGAACTTTAGCCCTGAGGATGCTCGGTCTCAGCTGGTGACTAAAAGAAAACTCCTCAAGATGCTCAGCTTAAGCCCAGGGCACAGCCAAGCCCGTGGAACCGAAACAAGGGAGAAGAAAATGCCATCAGTGACGTGGCCAGTGAAACCAGTACATGCCATCAAGAAACGCAAAGCCTTCTTGGTACATCGAGGTACCCAGACCGAAGAGATCCCCGATATTTGCATCGAATGTGGGAAGGTCTTCATCCAGAACTCCAGCCTGATCAGCCCATGGCCAGTCCAGAGTGATGACAAACCACACAAATGCTCCGAATGTGGGAAAAGCTTTACCGTCCGTTCCAGCCTCAACAGACATCAGAGAATCCACACCGGGGAGAAGCCGTACATATGTCTCGACTGCGGCAAGCGATTCAATGATAAGTCCAACCTCACTCAGCACCAGCGGATCCACACTGGCGAGAAGCCCTATGAGTGCATTGACTGTGGCAAGAGTTACAGCCGCAGCTCTCACAAGAAGAAGCACCTGAAAGACCCAGCGGAAGAGCAGCAGGAAGTTTGCGCCCAGGTGGACGGGGCCAATGCCAGCGCCGTCGACGAGAAGCCCAAAGCGAAACAGAAAGCAGAAGTGCTGAACACGTGTACTGAGTGCCTGCGAAGCTTCGGCCACAACGCCGACCTGATCAAACACATGCGTATCCATACGGGGGAGAAGCCCTACAAGTGTAACATCTGCGAGAAGAGCTTCAACGTTAGTTCTAATCTCTTCCGACACCAGAGAATCCACACCGGCGAGAAGCCGTACGTGTGCTCCGAGTGTGGGAATTGCTTCACTGACAAATCAACCCTAGTTCAGCACCATCGGATCCACACTGGGGAGAAGCCTTATGCTTGCCGGTTCTGTGGCAAATGTTTCAGCCACAGCTCCCACCATAAGAGACATGAGAAGATCCACAACCGAGAGAATCCCTTGTTCGCCTACCCGATCCCGTTGTTTTAACAGGATGCTCCCGCTGGAAGGGGAGGATAGAGAACTGTGTCTCTGTGTCTGTGTGTCTTCCTTTATTTTTGTTTTTTTAAAAGAGCGCAGGACCCATTTTGATTGATTTCAGTAGTCTGATTTTCGGCTGCCCCAGAAAGTTCACTTTCGATTGAATATAACTTGGAGTAGCCTTATTCTCCCTGGAATGTTCTAGGGGTGCTGAACTACAGTGTCTCTGGTTGTACTGTCTGGGAATTTATGAGACTGTAGTTCAGGACATCTAGAGCACGCTGATTCGGAGAAAGCCACTGTGTAAGTTAGCTCAAAATGTGATGATTTTCGGTAGGAGCCTTGGAATGTTCATAATTCCAGGTGGGTTTTCAGAATATTGATACTCAGTTATTTCTCAAATAGGTCCTTCACAGGATTATTGGGGATACTTGGAAATACTGTATATATCACTTCTGTTTTTGTATGGAAAACTATCAAATTATTTATTGCTAATCTCCTAATTGTATTTAATTATGAGTGAACCTTCTGGTGATTCCATTGTTTTGATTCCCTGGACCTCCCTTTGTTTCTGGCTCATCTAACTACCTATACAAGATTTCCCCTAAGCCCAAGGATCTCCAGGTTTGTGGGATAATGGCTCCCATCCCCCCCCCACAACCTGGGGAGGATGGGAGTTGTAATCACATACAGCTGGGCAGACTGGACCCGGAGAAGCTGGATTGCACAGACCAGGCCATGAGTGGAGAGAGATGGGAAGGCTGACAATCTCTGTGCAAAGACTCTGTGGAGTGATAGAGAATCTGCCCTTAGGCGAGTTGTAAAATTGCCTCAAAAACCCTTTGGCTTTAGGGGGACGGTGTTTCCTAGCCATTGAACCCCTCTCCACAACCATCTGCTAAATTAGGAGGCCCAAGTTCATGAAACCTACGTTTTGATGGATTGAGATTAATCCATTTTTTCAGATTTCTTGTTGCTTAGCTGAGTGGGTTAAGTTCTCCTGAGGCCTCTCTGAAAATTACATTTCCCAGACCTTGGAACCGTGGTGGTTCTTTGCTGCTCTTTCTCAGCATTTGGCGATTAGGAACGGACGTCCAGCAGCTGAAGATCGGTGTAATTCTCTAATGACAGGAAGACAAATTGTGTGTTGACACTTTAAGAGACCGAGTGGCTATTGTGCCCGGGCTTCCCCAGGCCAGAGACTCCATCAGATGCTCACCCAGGAGACTGAGGAGGTGTGTAAATATATGTCTGCGTGTGTGTGTGTGTGTGTGTCACATGTACACGCAGACTGGTTGAAAACCAAACTAAGCAAGGTGGGATCTGAAAGCAACACAATGCATCTGGATTAGTGGACCACTGAACATATGAATGCAATACGTAATGAAATGGAGGCTACTGTACTTTTGTAGTGAGCAGATCACGTATAACGTTTATTCCATCCTGAAGAATCTTACCAAATTTCTTAGTGGACTCTTATTTCTGTTTTCTGATGCTTTTCTTTTCTTTTTTTGGAAGCATCGCAGCCTTCGGGACAAAGGTGGAGTGTCCAGAATAGCTGCAGTTATCTTCTCCCTTAATTTCTGTGTATGTTCCCATTTGTTAAGTCCATTTTATGTTCAGATACGTGTTCTCGCCAGTTCTGATCCAGCTAGCAGTCCCTGCTACTCAGATTGGAGAAAATATTGTTTGAATCTCGGCGCAGGCCTGCACTTTGCAGGTGGAGTTGCTCCCTCTGTGCCTCAGATTCTTCTCTGTATTAAAAAGAAAGAAAGAAAAAGAAAAATGGAGAGAAAGAAAAGGTCCACCAGGAATATGTAGTGATCTACTAACTGGAGAGTTGTGTTGATTAATTACTGAAAAGAAGGCAAATAATGTTGAGCTTTAGAAGTCAGGTGGGGCTGTAAATCTAGGTCTAACAAAAATAGACAGAAAATGGAAAAAAAAAAAAAAAGTAACACAGTGGGGAAGGTTTGGAATTAGCTGTCCATAGAAGAATGTTTTTTGCTATAGCGAAATAATTTTTGTGGCTAGCTTTAATCCTTTCCGTAGACATCCTTTACAGAAATGTTTGTCATTTAATAGTGTGTCTGATAGGAAACCTAACCTTTGACCTATTGTAGCAGTTGATTCTACAGGTTAATTATGGCTTTTTAGTTATTATTGATGATACTGAGAAGGAAAGGGATGTTTCCTAGTTGTTCGGATAGAGGGGGAAAAAGAACAGAAAAAACAAAGCATTCCACTTGGAATCCATTTGTTTCTGTTGTATGCATTTTTGTGTTCAAGAGGGCAACACCTTTGTTAACCCAGAGGCATTTAGAATGTTTCCACATTACTTGTAAGAATTTTATTTTTGCGCTATTTGTGGGTTTTTGTTTTTTTTTTTAAGTTGGCCTGGTACAACCTGACTTCAAATGTTTCTGCTGCTTTGCCTGCCGGCATAATCTCTGAACTATCACTCCAGCACTTCCCGCAATTTAACATTCATTATGTTGGTCAATGTAGCACTTGTACAACCCTTCCCCAAAGTACTTTTGCAATGGCATAGAATGTCTTGGGTGCCTGGCGTGCCATGTCCTTTTGTGTTTTGCATTCTTGGAGAACCAAGGTGGCGAACCTTGGCATCCCCAGAAGCTCGTTTGAAATAATAATGGAATTTTTTAGTCAGTAACCATGAAAGGTTCCATACAGGCCACCTGAAGATTCATTTCAAGAGGCTGATGGTTAGCTTTTTTAAAAGAATATGCATTTAAAAGGATATGCATCAGCAGTAAGGAACTTTTCTCCTTCCAGATTGGGTTGGCCTACAGTTCGTAGTCCTGCTGCTCTGTCTAGAACAGTGTTTCTCAACCTTGGAGGCTTTAAGACATGTGGACTTCAACTCCCAGAATTCCCTATCCAGCATGGCTGACTGGGGAATTCTGGGAGTTGAAGTCCACATGTTTTAAAGTCGCCAAGGTTGAGAAACGCTGGTGTAGAAGATGATATATCCCCACTCCCGGTAGATCAGTCAAGCCCTATTAGTTGTGAGAAATAGAGGGAAATCCAGATTCAGTGCTAGCATAGCTAAATACCAGATGCTGAAGGCAAAGAGGTGGTTATTTACCATCAGGGGTTACTAATGAAATTCTTGTAGTTTCTAGATGGGTCATGAAGAGTCTTGCATTACATCACCTTTTCCACTGTCTAGGCTGGTCTACAAAGATGGGAAGATGGTCCAGCATTCTCAGCCAACACTTGGCTGCTAGACTCAGTAAATCTTCAATCTGAAACAACAAAGCAATTGCCAAAAGTCCCCCCCCCCCCCCCCCAGTATTCCCACAATGTTACGTATACTTGGTATACTGAACTTAATGATGGAACTTAGATGAAATATGTCATCAGGTGTTTCTGGTCCCTATGTTTCCCAGGGCACTGAGCCTTTCCCACAGTCTGCCCGTCTGTTTCCCAATGCAAGATTTCACATTAACTTCAGGTATAGATACTTCTCCACACGCCAAACGGCTTCCCCTGTAAGGAATTAGACAGGGAGGCTGACCTTACAGGATCTCACATGGGGGACCTGGGGCTCTGGACTGGCAGATGTTGAACCCATCTCCCCACTGTGACTACAATTAATTTAGAGCACAGCTCGGTGTGGGTGTGTGCGCGTGTGGGTGTGTGTGTGATTCACATTTTATTTCTTTTTTAAAAAAGGTAATGTGGTATGATTTTAAGGCAATCTTGCTGTTAAAGTGAATGGAGATTTATAATAATTTAATCGGCATAGTATCTAAGCATTTCCCTGGTGAATGAAATCTTAATTAAAAAAAATAAAATCCAGCTTATTATGTTCAGTTTGCCTTTCTCTACTTTTCTGTTCTATATTCCACCACCGATCGTGCTTCTAGGGGCTCATCTCTTGGATAATTAGACCATACTTGTATAACCTTCATACTGTTCCCTTTCTGGGGTAAGCAACATTATTATGCAAAGGGTAGAAAAGAGGTGGTCCCTCTACAGCGCATGACAAGAGGCTTTCACAAATGCTTTCTTGTAACCCAGAGAAGTGGTAGACAAGAGTACCAGCATCAGTCACAGTTGTGCCATTTCCTCCTAATGGAAATTACGAGGCCAGTCAGTTTTGCATATTTTGGCCAGGATGCCTCAGGTGCAACTGAAGAACGCATAGCTATGGTGACTGGGATCTTGAATCTAGACAGTGACTTGCAAGCCAATATACTGGTGTTTGCATCACACCAATTCTAAAATGCATGCAATTTGCTGACTCTCTGTAGTGGGCAGAAGGAAATATCTTGAGGGAGAGGAGGAAGAGCTGGTACCAAAACAACGGTCAGATAAAAGAAATCTGAGTCTGGGGCAGGACTGTAACCTGAGAAAACGTCTTGGACAAGACCCTCCTGAAAGGGAGGAAGGGAAAGCCTATTCAGACTTGCAAGAGTCTGTTACAGGCAGTCCTCGTTGAGCCACTTCCTCGTTTAGTGACCGTTGTCACACAGACCTGGAAAAGGTGTAGCTTCTTTAAGATACTGCTGACAGGCATGCCACAGCAGACCTAAAACACCTTTCCCATTTTAGCTCAGAATGCTATACATGTAGTCCTTGTTTAGCAACCATTCACAGTTACAACAGTGATGAAAAAGTAACTTTATGACCAATCCTCACATTTCTGTAGGTCTGTAAAGCAAAGGAAAGCTGAAGTAAGACCATAAGCACAGCCATGGTTTCACTTAGTGACCACTTAATGACCAAATTGCAGGTCCTACTGTGGTTGCTAAACAAGGACTACCTGTACTATAACTTTATAATAAAAGTAGTATTAGCCTGCATGACTTTGGTTTCCTAGTCTGGTTTACCTTGAAGAGCTGACATCCTCAGGATGACACTTAAATAGGAATGCCACTTTGTGAAATCCCACTTGCGGCTTCTGGGAGCTGTCACATTAAATATTGCTAAAGGAAATCCTACATCTTTCCTCTGGGTGGGTGTTGCCAGGTTG